AAAAATCAATCTCCAGTTCTCTTGAGAGAGATAACGGAGTGAAAACAAAATGTTAGGGTAAGGGTGGGATTACCCCCCTTTTATTTTATTGAGGTAAAATTGCGCCATTAAAATTTTTAGGGTGTCGGTTTTACCTTTAAAATTTTTTCCAGATGCTAGTTGCACTTTTACCCAAAACAAATTGAAAACTTTTTTAAATACTTCTTTTTGGATTTTCTTTTATAAAGAGGAGTAAAAAGATTAAATTAAAATCTAAATGAAAGAAAATCGATTAAAGAGTTAACAATTTAGATGAATTCCCCTATACAGCTTCAAATCGTGCCTTGACAAACAGTGCCCCACCATCATCTCCGGTTTTAAGCATTAAAGGTCATTTTAAAAAATTTTTAAAAAAAATCAATGTCCAGATCTCTTGAGAGAGACAACGGAGTGAAAAGAAAATGTCAGGGTAAGGGTGGGATTGCACCATTAAAATTCTTTAGGGTGTTGGTTTTACCTTTAAAAATTTTTCAAGGTACTAGTTGCACTTTTACCCCAAAATAAATTGAAAACTTTTTTAAATACTTCTTTTTGAATTTTCTTTTATAAAGAGAAGTAAAAAGGTTAAACTGAGATCTAAATGAAAGAAAATAGATTAAAGAGTTAAAAATTTAGATGAATTCCCCTATGCAGCTTCAAACCGTGCCTTCGTTGCTTCAAAAGATTTATGGAGTTTTAATTTCTAAATCAGTTACTTAAGCTTAAGTTAATTAACCTGTTAATGAGCCCTTTAACTAAAAGATTTCACAACAAAATTAACAACCCTCATTAAGCACCATTGGAATATATTAAAACAACTGTGCACGTTAAAGACTGAACAACGGCTTAACTCAAAAAATTAACATTAAATCAACTCAATTCAATGTCAAACAAGCAAGTCAAACATTAAACAATTCAAATCTGTACGCAATTATCTAATCTCAACATTCAAATCCCAAACTATACTACAACTGTAATATAATAATTCTAGAATCACAATCGAAATATCTAACTAAGATAAACCAAAATGCAAAATTGAAATTGGAGATAAGAATACAACCAGAACTCCCTAATTGATGCTCCGGCAGTCTTTGCAACGAGGGAAAATGTCACGTTCAGCTGCTCATGGTCTGATTTAGTGCTCCACCGAGCTTCTCCAACCTCTTAAACATCATCACAGTGGCACGCACGAGCTGGAAGAAGAGGAAAGGGATGGGTTGAGAGACTGAAACAAGAGAGCAGAAGACAGAGGCCAAAGCAGTGATGATGGTGAAGAGAACGTGAGATGATGATGAAGGTCGCTGGCTGTGCAAGTGGGAAGATGGAGATGAAGTCACAGTCGATGATGATGGAAGGGGTAGAGGTTGCCAGCCTTTATGGTGAGTGGAGTGAGATGGAAACGATGGTGAGTTGAGAGGAGGAAGATGACTATGGATAGTGAAGGTGGGATGCCGTGCCCCCCTGGTTCCCTCTTGCAAATGAAGATGATAATTTCCTTCTCCACATGCCCTAATCTGAACGCTGCGTTTCAGCAGTTCTTTTTTTTTTTTTTTTTGCCCCCGCTTTTCTGTGGTCCTTCTTCGTGCTTTCAAACTTCACTGGTCCCTCATAGTCCTTTTTAGAATTTGCCTAAAATGACTAAAACGCCTTGCTATGCCAAATATATATATATATATATATATATATATATTGGTTACACTTGGAATGCCATTTAAGTACCCTGTTATACCATATGTCTAATTAATCAAGAAGATAATGGCATTTTTTCCTTTTTCTCATTAATTCATGCAATCATTCTTAATAAATATTTATGCATCAGTAATGTAACTCCAATCAATTAAAACACTGAAAGAGCTCAATAGTACATGAATTAACATATAAATAATTGAACATAACATCATCTCCCAAACCACACCCATCCTGGGTTCATAAACGTAACATCTAAGGCCCTCAAATTAATTCTCCAGCAAAAACAAAACCAAATTAAATTACAGCATGATTTTCAAACAGTACTTTATTTATTGCAAGCAAAGGACGAACAATAAGTATTAAATGTCACAAACCACAAACAAGCTTTCAAAATACATAGAAGTATTTAATGTTTGGTCATTTTTCATAATCTTCACAAATTTTCACAGTTTTGCTCGAAACATCTGCACATGCAGATTTTTGGTCTTTCTCAGGGGGCTTGGTTCTTGCAGGGAAGGAGTTGTGGCTAGGGGCCGGAAGCTTGGAAAAGCTAGTAGTCAGAAGATTCCAGAATACTGGAAAATTTGTGATAGCATAAATGGTGGCTGGGATTGATATGATAATATAAATAGGAATATAAACTTTTCGTGCCTTGTCAACAAGCAAGAAGGAATGACTGGCGCAGAAAGATATCCACATACAAAGAATGGAAATGAACATGGTGGACATACCAAGGAAGAGCCTGAAAGGCAGGTCTATGTAGAACTGAACAACATTAAAACGAGCAGTAGCGAGGGAGAGTAAGAGGATGGTGGCTATGAGAGAGAAGCAAAGGGCCGCCAGTGACATGGCCACAAAGAATTGGTATATTTGCTTGTGTATGAGGAGTGGGAAGCCGTGGTTTTGATCAAAACCGCCAGGCACACTGGCGGCTGTGGCAAACGCCACCGTCGCAATCAGCGTCGACACCACCGAACATGCCCCTGAGGTTTTACTCAACCAATCTTCATCCCTTTGGGTTATTAGGTCCTTGTGAGTCTCTTTGAAGATGTCATCTGGGCTTTCCAACTTCTTGTTGTATCTCGAAAACACACCACGCCGCATTGAACGTCTCACATACTGCATCACCCCATTTTGAATACAGCTCAGGTACTTCTTTTTATACTTAATATAAAAAAGCTACTTAACTAATTTATTGTAATATATGATCTATCTGAAATATCTCTGTGTAATGCTAAATTATAAATCAATTTATAAGTATAAATTAGTTTGGAAAAAATGATAAATACAGAAAACAAGATAGATTGAGGTATTATATTCAAAACCAAATCCAACCACATAACTAGCTCTTATATTAAAAACTAGAAGTAGTACTAAATAAAATACCTCTGTCTACTATGCCTGTTAAATTTAAAGTTTTATTCTCTCTAAGGTATTCCTACTGATCGCATATATTAAGAAAGTTTCTATCGGGTAATTCTAATACATATGATTAAAAGAAGTATTTTAAGAAAAACCAAAACACAGTTATTATAGATAACCCATTTGGTTAATCTTTTTAATATCCTCAAATTAGTAACATGTTTCTTCTATTAAAATACTAGAGAGAGTATCATAAAAAATTAGTAGCAACTTAACGTTTTAAACAGTGCAAAATTTCTATATATATGAAGACACAACACTTCCTCTAATCCTTATTATAGGCACCTAATAGCAATTTTATATAAATATTAAAGTAGTTATAATTAGTCATTCTTGTAAAAAGTCATTCTTGTAAAATATCAAAATTACACTCAATAAAATTCATAAGAGGAATTTGGTTAATTGGTTAGGAAGGGACGAAGTAGAAAAGGTTAATACTTGAGAACATGAGGAAGTATATATAAACACACACACATACCGGCGGCTTACGTACCTCAAACCACTTAAACTCCCATTGCATGAGAAATGCTTCCCCATGATGGTTCAAATTACGGCCGCCTCCATACCTTGCTGCCAAGTGCAATGCACTGTTTCCATCATTATCCACTTGCTGAAACAGACTTCCGGAGAGGGCAAGGATTTCCGGTTTGCATAAAAACTCGTATACCTTCGTTTGCTTCTTCTCTGCTGCTAATAAGACTATATTTTTCCCCTCATCATTCACGTCGTCAATATTAATGGATGATGGGATTTTTTTCAGAGCTTTTTTCACTATATCAACCACACCGTTCTTTGCAGCGATCATAAGAGGCGTCTCAATTCTTTCACCATCTATGGAATCATTCGGAGCCGCACATACATGCGAATTACGAAGTTAAGTTATTGCAAATGGAATTTGAGGGGGGAAAAACACAACAACAATGTTATAAGGACTTTGAATCTTCTGTAACATTTTGTAAATTAAAGGGGTCTGATTATGGTCGAAAACATAATAATAATGCATGCAATCATGTGGTCCAATCCAATCTACATTCATTGAAGTTCAAGATAAATCTTTAAAACCAGTCTGTACCTACACCTAAATATATATACGGAAAAATTATCCATTAAATTCCTCGGGATCTTTGGTATTTAATTTTTTTACTTGGGACACGGATATTTTTTTCCTCTCAATATACAATGATGATGATGCCTTACAAGGATGATTTTTTTTTTTTTTTTACCTTTGTTAGTTGACATCTTCAGAAATGAGGGTGTCCCTGGTGACATAACTGAATGGGCATGCAGAATTTCATCCGTTATTTGACAAGACCATGTGTGCTTCTGCTTCTTTTGTCGTACCCCAAGAAATTCATAAATTGATTGTCCAGCTGGGAAGTAGACAGCAATAGAGAGATGTGTGGGTATGTGTATATATATAGAGAAAGAGAGATGATGGTGATGATAACGATATATCACACTATATCGAATTAATCAATATAAATGTTACCCCAACATGTGCTCAATTGTGTGTGCGTGGTGATTCTGGTCCCTAGGGCTAGACAGTCTTTCTATGCCGTGTCCCGTCTATTTTTTAAAGATTTTTTAATTTGAAACCCTGTCATACATATGGTATAAAGTTTCATGATAAAAACTATAGAAAGAAAATAGATAAAAATTGGCTAAAATTTTGGCAGTACACAAAAACATATAATCCATCTAGAAAAACTTATAAACAACATATATATAACCAAAGCAATAAATGATAGGTAACATAAATTTATAAAATTAACAAATATAATATACTAGGATGAGACACCGGTCACATTTCGAAACAATTTTGTCCTATCCTATTTTGGTCTTGCTTCAAAAATGTTTAAGATGGGATTATCCTATCCCAAAATAACTGGAACGGAAACAGGACACTAGAATAGAGCATAGTTGGGCTTAGAATAAACCATTCACGGACTCTACCTATTGCAAGCTAAGAGAGGTTGCGTACCTAGTTCAAAGTGTTGGAGGACCCAAATTGTGGACTTGAAAAACTTGACCTTTTTATATTCTTTTCCTTCTGTAATAAACACGACAGTCATAGAGAATTTTTATGTGGTTGATATACATATACATATACATATAGATGAGAATAAAGAATGTGTTTGACTGAAATTAAAAAAAAAAAAAAGAATCAACAGTATCGTGAGCACAGTAAACTAACTACAAGAAAATTAAAAGGGCCATTTTACAAACAAAAAATCTGCAGTGAACATCATGAAAATTTATAATTAAATATCAATATAATGCTCTCGTTAGTCATTAGTTTGTAAGTATATCTTTGTAAGTGTATTTTAAACTGTGAGGCCTGCCTAGGCTCAAGCAAGCCTCAAGTCAATTTTTTAAAAGAGAAAAAAAAATCAAAGAAAATAGGAAGGGAAGGTTCATGCAAAAGGTAATTACTATTTTTAATCCACTTTTGGACCGCATCCTTGAGAGCCATAACGCACGATTTATGATCTTCCTTCTCTAATTCTTCCTTCGTCGTGGCCTTATTCTTTGTCATATCGCCCAAAACTTCAGATTTCCACCAAAAGAAATCCCATGTTATTTATATTGATATGTAGTAGAGAATTTAGGGGAGGAAAAAAGTTATAAATATTTATAGTACTTACGATGATACGCGAGATGTCCAAATGGCCGACCAAGGAGGGCACCACTTTTGAAAGCTGAAGGCTTTTCTGCCAGTAGATGGAGTGGAGACAACCCTTCGTCATTGAAAATGCTCCGTTTCACGAGATCTTTATAAAGATGAATTATTTCGATGGCCACGTCTGCTCAAAATAAGAAAAGAAAATGCATCGATCCAACATAGTAAACTAATTAAAACAGCAAAAGCAGAACATAACAACATTCTTATGCCACTAAATGGGTGAAAAAACAAACAAAAAATAGCATCATCAGCCACGATGTACCCAGATGTTCTTCTGCAATTGCACAATGTAGAATGGTATCCTTGTTGTCCCTTATACAGTGAGCATAGTTGGTTGAAGAGACCCCAGGAATTTCCATATACAGATAATGAAGCCAAAGAAAAGCTTTTCTCTGGCCGTGGAGAGCTGCCAGGAAGAGGGGTGTCTCGCCGGCTTCATTGCGTGTAGCAATTAAGGAGGGATTAACACCACCAATCTTCTTGCACATTTCAATGTTACCAATTGAGGCTGCTAAATGCAGAGGAGTGTTACCTTTCACATTCGCAGCCTCAAGGACGTAGCTCCTCTCACTACTCTCTTCATCTTCCAGAACTAAGTCCACCATCGCGGCCACCACCACCGTCTCGTCCAGAGCATACATTGCCATGTGAAGCACGGTGTCCCCTGTCGCCGTAACCTTGGCCGTGCGAAGCCCCCTGTCTTCCTCGAGCGTTTTAAATACTTCCGACCACTGGTTTTCCATGGCATTACGAAATAGGTCGTTCTTGGTGTCCTTCCAATTCTCCATGTGGTCGCCTGCTGCAATTTATCTCCTACACAATTGAATTCAATGGATGCATAAAATATGAGTCACACACACACACTCACACACATATATGTATGTATAATGTGTGTGTGTGACTTTTGGGGCATGCGGGTTTGCTCGGGCATCAAGTTATTCCCATTCTTACTATTGAATGTGATGAAGGAAAGAGAAAGTTGAAACATCATGGACAAGTTTGAACATAAATGAGTTCCACGTTGAAAACTACAAATTATAAAATATTAACAATACTCCTCAAGTCCTTAATATAAGACCTATTTAACTAATTTGATTAGATTAAGGAAGTTAGGTGAGTTAGTTAATAATAAGAAATATGGTATGTTTTTACTAAAACACCATAATCATCTTTCTTAATATCCTCCCTTTCTCTTCTACTTGATTATGGTTAAGGTAATATCCATAGAAGTAATTTAGAAAAATTGATAAATATGAGAAATATGTCTTATATTTGGAAAAAAAATCAACTCAACAATTAGATCATATATTAAGGACCAGAAGAGTATTAAATGAAGTCTAAATTTTCCCATTATATTATTATTTGATATCTGATTCCCGCAGGATCCATCAGTGCTGTGCTTTCTGTACTCAGTAAGTCTTTGTACTGAACACCTCAACCGCACGGGAAAACTATAAGCAAACAGCATAGAAAACATTCAACCGAATATTTCACATCAGATTCCACAGGAGATAGTAATTTTTAATTTATGGAGGCCGAAAAGGATCTGGTCTTACAATATACTCTTCCTGTCCTTAATATAAGACATATTTAACTACTTTGATTAGATTAAGAAAGTTAGGTAAATTAGTTAATTATAAAAAAATATGACATGGTTTTCCTAAAACACCATAATCATCTTCATTAATATCCTCTCTCCTTATTCTACTTGATTATAATTGAAGGAGATCCATAGCGGTAATTTAGGAAAAATTAATAAATATGAGAAAGATGTTTTATATTTAGGACCAAAATCAACATAACAATTAGATCCTATATTAAGGACTGGAGGAATATATATATATATATATACACGTCAAATATCCAGCTTTAGCAAGCAGAAACTTCCCATTGCAGATTAAATAAAGCAACGGAATCTCCAGTTACGGCAACACGTTGAGAGAGATGGAAATGAAACAGAGAAAGAAAAACCAACACATCTTATGAAATCATGATTTGAAGAATTGTATCTTATGCTTTTCTTCCGCATGCATCATGGGATGGAACATTTGATCTGCGTAAAGAAATGCTGAAAGAAGCAGAAAAGCAAGTGGAATACTATATACCGACACTTGGAAGCAAAAACTAGATATAGCCGTTGCTTGCTATTGGCCTGTTCGAATTTACCGTACAGGAATCGAAAGTGCAACGTAGACTTAATGATGGTTTTATATTTTATTGTGAGTAAGCATATAAAAATAAATTTCAATTTTTAAATTTATTCTTTCGCTTTGGTGTTAATTTTTAGCTCCTCTTTACTTTACAAATTAAACAAACAATGCATTAAATATAAGCTGGACGGACGTCATAATCCAAAAAAAGATTGAATACTAAAAAAATTGAAAGATGATCGGAAGGATTAAAAAAATTGTAGAGAGTCCAGTAAATAAAAAAAAATTGAAATAATTGAAAATTTTGATGACTGAGAGGAGCTTACTGTTTATATATAGTTTATGTGCAGCACGGATTTTTATTTTATATTAATTGTTAAAATTTTACTTTAGTGCCATGTTTTCAATAAACATGACAATAAGACTGTGCCCTTAATTTTTGGCCGTCGTTTAAGGGGGATGGATCAATATCTTAAATTAATATTTTCCAATCACATGATTTTGAAATTTTTTTGTACACGAGTTATCATTATAATTTCATATGCTCTTATTACCAACGGTTAAATAAACACCAAATGTAATGCTTATTATTTATAATAATTGATTGAATAAATATATTTTCATTAATTTAAATAGGTATGATTTATAGCGATTAATGTTTTGTAGTAGTATATATGAAATGCTATTCATTTTCGCATTCATATTACTGATTGTTCCCTAATTTTATAAAGGAAATCAATCAACTTCCACACTTTAGATTGTTGAAGGCATCTAGTACAAATGGCATAAAGTTTTGTCTATTCGCTTTTAAAAAAACTTTAATTGTTCTCTTATATATGAGAGTTTAAGGCTATCTCATTTAAATAACATGAGTTAATATAATGTAATATAACTCATGCTAAGAAGGTAAACTTGAATCGTGAACTCGGATCATAAATTCGTAAGAGTTTACAATAAATAGCTCTTAAGAATACATGATTAAGTAATTAAAATATAAAACGTGACAAAAAATTGATTTAAATATATTTTAAATCTAAATCATTAAAATTAAATTAATCAGCATTTATAATTTATCATACTTAGTATAGCTGGATCGAGAGCATGCTTACACACATTACTGCAAACAGAAGAAATAAAAACATCAAATAAGACACAAAAGCTATAAAAGTGATGAACGGTAGTGTTGTTTGAATAATACAAGCCGACAATCACGTAATTTTGGTGTCTTAATTCTCTACCGTTTTTCTCGTTCTTGGTCCTTCGATACTCAATGCGAAGAGTGGCCCTGCATCTATAGGTGGGAAAAAGTGAGATCTGAGGAAATATGGGACGGAGGAATGTTGGGAGCTGTACAACAACCAAAAGGATGATCATCAATGAAGAAGGCATATAATTTCTAAGAAAGTAATGCAATGTTTGAAGAGTGACATCGAGCATGAAGAAATCAGCAGCACAGAAAGAGATCGACAAAAAACCAATGGAGATGAACATGAAGGATATACCAATGTAAAATTTGACAGACACGCATGACCAGAGTAAAGCTTGGAAATGAGAAGTGTAACACCTCAAATTTTCAAATTCAGGAAAAGTAGTAAAAAAATTTATTAAAATTATTTAAAGTCTAGGAAATTTGGAAAAAAATTATGGAACATTAATTTCAAGGACTTAGAAATTTTTTGGAAAAGTTTATTTTGGCTAAAATGACTTGAATAATTTTAAAGTTAATTTCGGTGGTTAAAAAGACCTATTTTCTTGAAAATTTAAGGAAAATAGTTAAAGATTTATATCTAAGCGAAACATTGTAAGATAATTATTTTATGACGTAAAGAAGCTAATTGAGGCATAAAATCCTTAAAATGAATTAAGGATTAATATATGGAATTAAGGGCTATTTTCTTAGAAAATTTAAGAAAAATAGTTAGGAGTTAATTTTTTGTCCAAAATTTTTAGAGAAATTATTTTACGGGTCAAAGAAAATAATAGAGAAGGAAAATCCCAACAAAACATTGTGGTTAAATTTGTGGATTTATTCTATGATTTCAGAAATTTAGTGAAAGGATGAAATTGGAAATGAAAAGGTTAGAGGAGTAAAATGGTCTTGTCTCTCATTTAACTCATCTGAAACTCCTCCTTCGCCTCCATTTCGATCAGACCAGAGAAATTAGAGGGAGAGAGACCGAGAAAAACGAGAGGGAGCGAAGAAGAAGAAGAAGTTAATCGAAGGGCATTTTCCTTGCATGCAACCGGCGATCTTGATCAAGGTAAGCCTCCTAAGCACCATTCCATCCTTATTTCTTTCTGTGGCTGCGTTTTTGGGTGAGGTGCGTGGGATGGAAATCTGTTTTAGAGAGAGAAGTTAAGGAACATAGAAATAATCGAACTAAGCTTGCTTTATTCTGATTATGGTCGCCGGGTTCACTGATAAAAGGCCAGAAGAAGCATGTTTTCTTGGTTGCATGTTGCGCAATCATTCTGGGTTGTGAGCTACCAAAACAGGGGTCCGATGAATCTAGAGCATGGCGTTGAGTTTTGGGTGTGAATGAAGAAGGGGTTAATGAAATATATATTTATATATATAATTGCTTGAGTGTTTGACCGTGGGAGCTGGAATTTTAGAATCTGAAATAGTGAGAATATATAGAAGCTTTTTTTTCCCCTATCAAAGGGAAATAAGTGAAAGCAAAACGATATATATATATATATATATATATATATATATGAATGGCGTGAGATATATGGGAAAGAAGGAAGTTATAGATATATAGCTATATTTGCTGATCAAATTGAGGGCTATTGGTGTGGTTTGTGTGAGCTTTAAATCTGGAATTTAAATTTAAAGAGGAAGAAACAAAATTGTTGATTGATGTTTGGGTATGGGAGGTTTGCCGTGGAGATTAATTAAACTTCTACTGTTTATTGATGAACTTAATGGTTAAGCCAATTGATCATAAAAGTTAATAATTGATTCAAAGTTGAAGGAGAGACTTAAATAATTTGAATTGTTTGAGAGCTAGAGTGAGAAATGGAAAAGAATGCTTACTGTTTGATTAGTTATATGGTTAACTATATTTGAGTTATATGGATATATATTATATATAATTTCTTTTTCATGATGACCAACTACTAAACAAAAAGAAATGAAGTTCATTAATGGGTCAAGAGAAGTTATATTTTGGATAATAGAAGCTAAATGGACTAAGCATTAACTGATTCATATGTAAAATCATATTATAGGATTCAATATCTGCACGAGCCCGCTAAGAGAGCAAGTAAAGAAGAAATCTAGAAAAAGGTAAATAGGAAGAAGGGACTTAGGTAGTAACTCTTTCTCTCACATACTTATGCAATAGTTTTGCATATCTGTTTGTGCCATAGTGCTTATATTTCTTAATGAATATATGGTGGTTTTGATTATGGGAGCTATGTGCTTGATTATAAATGGTGGTTTGATTACGGGAGCTGTGTGTTCGATTATGAATAGTGGTTTTGATTATGGGAGCTGTATGCTTGATTACAAATGGTGGTTTCGATTACAAGAGCTGGGTGTTCGATTATGAAAGGTGGTTTTCATTATGAGAGCTATGTGCTTGATTATGAATGGTCGTTTTGATTACAGGAGCTATGTCCTCAATTATGAA